ACAAAAAGTTTATCAAATTACAAAATATGTTAATGAGATATTTTTAATCTTTTTTCATACTAAAACTTCAAATATAGTGTGCAGACTATTCACATTCCAAGTGCTCATTAGTAATACATAGCCAGTAGCTTAAGGTGACCAGACGTCCCGCTTTTGGCGGGACAGTCCCAATTTTTAACAATTTGTCCCACATCCTGCAGCATTTTTTAAAAGTCCCGATTTCTGGAAAGAATGCACAACAAGCTAGGGAACGGAGGGAGAACGGGAAAGGTATAGACGGTTTTTGGCTGCCATGTGGCTATTTCGCCAGGATATGAGTTTTATATTATTTTTGTTCATTTTATAATGTTAAACTTTAATAATAACAAATAATTGTTGAGAACTGATTACCGAAAACTGCTTATCAAAGTTCGCATTGTTGATCAGTTGTTAGAATTCGGCCACCATTGTTTGGACTTAATAAACAATGGCATTTTTTGGCATTGGCAACCACGAAAACATTTTGTAACTGTCTCTCAGACAATACTGCGTGCTAGTGCTAGTTAAACAAATGATGTCAACAAATCAGCTACTCAGATAATCTAGGTAAGTAATTTATTTATTTATTTCATAAATTTAGCAGACAGTACTCGTATTATTTTTTATTTTATAGTGGCGGCAAAAAGTCTAGCCCCGGCCTTGAAAGTGACACTTACAATTCACAAGGTATCATTATTAAAAATATATATTGATAAGGAAAAGATTAAATCTTGGGCATTAGCAAAAATCACAATAGAGAACAAATGGTTAGAAATATTTCATCATTTTGAAACAAACCATGTTCCATACAATAATGCACTAAAAACTGTGGGATACATGCTGTCCTTACCAGGAACTAATGGTGCAATTGAACGTGTTTTTTCTATGGTAAATAAAGTATGGACATCAGAAAAATCACAATTAAGTGTTGAGACTTTGAAAGCCATTTTATGTGTGAAATATAATTTAACAAATTCTTGTGAAAAATTTCATGACCTTTTAAACGACAGCAATCTACTAAAAAAAATTCACTCAAATGATAAATATGCCAAAGAATAAAATAATACTATACATAATTTTTAATGTATTATATTTGTAAATTATACTTATGTTGAAATTAAAAAATATATATTACAATACTATTTTTGTGTTCTATGAAAATTTTTGTTGCTCCATATAGACCAAATTTTTAATTAAGAACCACCCCCCATCAATGGTGTCCCGCTTTACCAATGTTAAAATCCGGTCACCTTATAGTAGCTACTGTATTAAACAACACAGTTCCAGACTAATAAAATAGTCAATTATTTGTCTCAGAGGTAGTAAATATATAGTATAATTTATGCTTATAACTCTCAGAGAACAATTGTGAAATTAAAATTTTCAAAATAAAAAGTTTCTATCTAAGGCCTCACATTAAAAAATAATCCTAGCCAGACACGGTGGCTCATGCCTATAATACTAGCACTCTGGGAAGCTGAGGCCAGTGGATTGCCTGAGCTCAGGACTTCGAGACCAGCCTGAGCAAGAGTGAGACCTCCATCTTTACTAAAAATGAAAAAAATGAGGCAAGAGGATCGCTTGAGCCCAAGAGTTTTTGTTTTGTTTTGTTTTTTTGAGACAGAGTCTCAAGCTGTTGCCCTGGGTAGAATGCCATGGCATCACAGCTCACAGCAACCTCCAACTCCTGGGCTCAAGTGTGATTCTCCTGCCTCCGCCTCCCAAGTAGCTGGGACTACAGGCACCCACCACAACGCCCGGCTAATTTTTGATTGTAGCCATCATTGTTGTTTGGCGGCCCAGGCTGGATTCGAACCCACCAGCTCAGGTATATGTGGCTGGCACCTTAGCTGCTTGAGGCACAGACGCTGAGCCTGAGCCCAAGAGTTTGAGGTTGCTGTGAGCTAGGAAGCTACAGCACTCTGCCAAGGGCAACAAAGTAAGACTCTGTCTCAAAAAAATTATAATAATCTTAAAATCAGGTTTATTACTGCACACAAAGCTATTTTTGT